AATATTGCAGAACAAGTGGATGCAAATGAAGCCAGGGATCAACAGAAACTTGGCTGACGCTGATAGGCCTGTAATGGGTACTGTCTCACGTCTTCAAATTCAGGGCCCTTATATAAGTAAGGAAGTAATTAACCAGTAATTAGTAAATTGAGTACTACCTTCGGGTAGCTAGAATGATAATAGACTGCATTGCACTGCTGCAGCACCCTCCAATCGAGCTGTCATTAGGGGTAAAGGCTGGGTTCAATTCCTGAGTGAATTTTGACGATATGGGTACGACAGCTACCTACTTTTCTGAGATTCTATAAAGATGATAACATCTAAGCCTTCCCGATCATGTGTTAAAATATCCTGATACCGGGCAGAGGTAATAGTGATCCAGATATGGTGTTGGTAAGCACAGGGAAAAACTGACAAAGTATCTGTGGCTGAAAGTGATCCTTCTATCCAAATTTGACAGTGGTTCTGAGGTCTAGGTACCCTGAGGGCTAGCTCTTGAGGATGTCGACTTAGGTGACAATCTTCAGACCAGTACTACAGGGCAGAGTTCTGGCTAAAACATTGTGTCTAGTTATGACCTAAAGAATGACTTAGGATAAGTCGAGAGTTATAATAACCTCATAAGTACTATCCGTTAACATGACTCCTTGAACCAGTACTGCAACTTAGAAAAAAATAAAAAAAAAAAATATTTAATATAAATAATAATATAATAAACAATTATTAATTTATTTAATCAACTTTGTTATTTTTAATTTAACGATAATAAATTATTCAAGAAGAATGATTGGTTGACCTGAAATTTTATCCGGTCGGGTCAGATCGGTTTGACCTGTTGACCCAACTTGACATCAACCTGAAAATCTATTGACCTGACCTGAATTTTCAGGTTAGTTCTAATCAGGTAAACAGATCAACCTGACCTGATTCGGAGCTCTAATTTCAACAAATACGTGCATGTCAAAATAAAGTTCTTAAGAATATAAATGATATAAATAATATAGATAAAATAGATGATTTAGATAATTTAAATAAAATTAATAGTTTAATTGATTTGTTTGATCCAACAAAATATAAAATATAAGATCAAACAAAAGAATTATCTGTTTCAGAAAATTTTCATTATATAAATCAATTTTGGGATCATGTTGATCTTTATCCAAAAATTGTATATTATTAAAAAATATAAAAAAAAAAATGTGATATTTCTTTAAAAGATTTATTAATTTCAACATTAATTGAAGAAATAACATTTAAAGAAATATTTAAAGTTCTTTTAAAATATTTAAGTTTAATTGATAATATAATAAAAAATAAAATAATTAATGATAATGATAAAGATGAAGATGAAGATGAAATGAAGATGATGATAAAGATAATGAAGAAGATAATGAAGATAATGAAGAAAATAATAATAATGATGAAGATGAAGATAATGAAGATAATGAAGATGATAATAATAATAATAATATTATTAATAAAAAATCATAAAAATCTTTTGGTAAATAGTTAGGTTTAAAAAAATCAATTAAAAAGAAAACAATCAGAAAATTTATTAAAAATAAATAGAGAAGACTTTACCATGATTTAAAAAATCAAAAAAATCAAAAAATAGTATTTAATATTAATATTATTAATAAAAATATTATATCTAAATCATTAATTGGATTAGCAAATCAAAATAATAATACATTAAATAAATTAAAAAATTATTATTATTTAACTAAATCTGAATGTATTATAAATCAAAATAATTAAACATTAATATATTTAGAAAATATTAATAATAATATTATTATTTTATAAGTAATAAAAGTTGTCAACAATTATTGTTTTCATATTTTAGATAATCTATTTTATAGAAGTGAATCTTTTTGGAAAGATATGGCAGAACATTTTAGTTATAGAAAATATACTAGTTTTCCTTATATTAGTGCAGATATAGCAAGTAGTTATAATATAAATTATTTAGAATGTGTAAATAAGTTAATTATTGTTTTCAAACTATTATCAAATTATGTTAATCAATTTGTCAAAGAACATTATAATAATTTATATACAAAATTAAGCAATTTTTCTTAGAGTTTATTTGCATCAAGATCTTTTAGAATTTTTCTAATGATTGCTATTAATTTTAATACAATAAGTGATTTTTATTGAAATAAAAATGATAAAGCCAATTGTTTTTGTATTTTAATTGCTTTAAGAGATTATGAAGGAGGTGAAATATGTTTTTTTCAACTTGACATTGTAATACTTTTAAAATCAAAACAAATTTTAACATTTCATTCTCATTTATTATTACATGGTAATTATATATTAAGTAAAGGTATTAAACATAGTATTGTCTATCATTTACATAAAGTAATGTTAGATTTATCAAAATCTTCTATTATTAAATTAATAATAAAGAAAATAATTTTTCTAAAGATAATATACAAAAATTATTTAAAGCTTCTAAAAATTTATTAATAAAAAAATTTAATAATCCAAAAAGATTTCAAACTAAAATGAAATTATCTAAAGATAAAAGAAGATCTAATATTGATAAGTAATATTTTAAATATTATTATATAAAAATTAAAATAATTTTATTTAATAATAATTTTTTTTTAGATTTAAAAAGAGCTAGACTTGATTTAAAAGCAAAAGATAAAATAAATTAAATCTTTTATAACTTTTTATTAATTAAATATATATTTTTTTTAATATCATTAATTTAATAAAATATATTTATTATTAAAATATAATAATTTTAAATTTAAAAATAAAAATCCATTTTATATTTATTATAGAAATGAAACTAATAATAAAAAATGCAATTAAAAAAAATTTCAAAAAACAAAAAATTATTAAAAAATAAAAAACAAAAAATTATTAAAAAATAAAAAAAATAAAATTTTTATTTAAAAATACAATACAAAATTATGAAAATATATGTGATATATTACTATTACTATTACTAATTCTATCTTTAAAATATATATTTTTATTTTTTATTAGAATTTATTTTATATTCTAAATAAAAAAAAATTTAATAAAATTTTAAAATGGAATTTATATTTAAATAAAATAATAAATTTTTTATAATAAACCTACTTACACACAAAAAGTATGAAAATATCTTTATAAATAAAATATCAGATTATTTTATTAATATAAAAATAATAATAAATAATATAAAAAAAACTCTAATTATCTTATGTTAGAGTAAAAACTGTAGAATTATTTTTCTTTTGTTCTTTTAATAAAGATACTAATACATAATATAATAAAGATAAATTAGATTATTATATTTTGTAAAAATAATAAAATTTCTATAAATTTAGTTACCAAACATTTATTTAATAATTGTACAGAAATTTCAGTAGATTGAAGATAATAATATTTATGAATATTAATCTTATTTTAAATAAGAACATTTAAATATAAAATATAATTTCAAAACTAATTTTATTAGTTTTAAAACTTTAAAGTATTTAATAAATATCATAATTAATTTCTTATTATAATTTTATCTGATTATTTATCTTTTTTTTATAAATTATAAATTTTAACTAATAAGATTATATTTGTTTTAGTGATTTAAATTTTACAAACATTAGCTTATTTTAAAGATTTAATATCATAAATTTGTGATTTTATTTTAGCAATTTTTGACTAATTAATTATATTTTATAAATAATTAATAATTTTTTATCATAAATTTTACATTTTAAGATTTTATAATTCATCTTTTTAGGTAATTAGATCTTGACATAATCAGAAAATTAATTCAAAATACATTTATGAATATTTCTTCTAAAATTGACTTTAGATCTGCTTAAGATCTTACCAATTTTCAAATCTATTATAGCTTCTTGTGATAATTAAATCTGAATGTTTTTGATCTTGTTTGAAAGAGCTGAATCTATCAAATTTGCATATCAAATTTAATAGGAATTTGACTGGTAGATGTTGAGATATTTATATTCAAAGTTTGTCATAACAAATTAGAATTTTATATTTTTATATTTTCTTTTTTTTTATTTCCTTCCAGTTTGTTTATTTATTTATTTATTTTTTAATTCCCAGTATTTTTTTATTGAAATTTATTATTATTTTTTTTTTTTTATATTTTTTTATATTTTTATTTTTTATTTTTTATTTTTTTTTTATTTTATTTTTTTTTAGTTTTTTTTTGCAATTCGTTTCCTTTTTTCTTTTCTTTTTTTTATTTTTTATTTATATTTTATTTTCGTTTAGTTTATTTTATTTTATTTTTATTTTTCTTTTTAGTTTAGATTTTTTTTCTTTTTTGCTTTTTTTCAAAAAAATAAAATAAAAAGAATGAAAATAAAAATAAAAATAAAATAGATTTCGGTGGATATGGCATTTAATTAGTAAAATGCGATATAATGATTTGTTTAATATTATAAAATAAAAAATAAATGCATACTAATGGCGGAGTAAAATATCACGTGATAAATACAAAATTTGGCTCTGTACCGGTCTGGCGAATCGTATCGTACTGGTTTTCCATACTCGAAGAAGAAAAAAAAGTCAAAAAAAGTCAATTTGAAAAGGCCCCATATAAAATTAATTATATAAATAGATATAACAATTATATTTTACATGTCAGTAATGCTTTAACATATCAGATTTTCTACGTTATGTTGATCCGCTTACAATATATAAAAATATTATTTTTATTATATATTAATTCTTTTTTATAAATTATTTATTTATAAAATAGATTAATTGAATATTTACATGTATTTTTATATTAAAATTTTTAAAACTTTTAAAATTTTTTTTTTTTGCTTTCTAATTCTAAATAATCATAATATCGTAATTTGAAATTATAATACATGTTTCAGCATAATATTAGTAGTGTAATAAAATAAGATTATCTTAACGAATAATATATTATAATATTTTTACTGTTAATTATCCCATTTGTCAACATTTAAAAATTCATTTCCGATTTTTTCTAAAAACTCTTGTAACGCAACTCTAACATCTGATTTATCCACACCAATTATCTTAATTGCTAACCGATAAAAGTCTGGTATTTGTTTTCTTAATCCAACTAATCTTGTAGTTTTTGAATCATGTATTTCGCCAGCATCATCATCAAACAAATCAGTATCACTATCTCGTCTTCCATCATCCCATTTCGTTTTACATAATTCTCTTAGTACAGTTATTACCAATGGTGACCAACTGGTCATCTCTCGCTGTTGTTGACTAGACGCTGGTTCATTGATTAATCGGATAAATCTTTCAAGAACTTTTGTTGATTCTTCTACGAGTGGTGGCAATAGATCTTGATCTGCATCACCAAATGTTCGGTATAAATCATAAAGAATTGAAAGAAATACTGATAATGCTAAAGTTTCTTGTTTTGTAAGATTGGGCATTTGCTGAACATATCCTGCTCTCCATAATGCATGTCGAAGGTCGTGATTTGCATTGAAATTATGTGCAAATTTATAAGAGACATAGAGGCATCTCAACCATCGATTTCGATATTCAGCTGGCATTTGTGCAAGATAATGAACCTGTTCTTTTGACCATGCCATTGCTGTATCGTTAAGAGCAAGATCTTGAACTGATTGAATGGCAATAAGTTGTGCTGCACATTTAATAATTGCATGAGGAAAATCAATATCGACCTTTGTAGTTATAGCTGTTACCTGAGAAGTTGAATATGGGGAAAGAGATGGATCTTCAACTGTGATGGAATCTACAGAGTCTCTTTCCGATTCATAGGAAGAACCATTTGGAACATGATTGCCGTTCTCTATATGACTTAATTTGGCACTAATTATCTCGTCCTTGTTATTATCCCCAATTTCAGTAGATGCAACTGTATCAACTTCCAAAAGTTCTTTTGGTGTGGTCCATTTGAAAATTTCTTCAAGCGTGGTAGTTACTATTCCCCATGTTACTCCATCAAAACGAATTCCATTTCTGGCAATTAAATTGTGGAAACATCGAATACCTGTCTGTCCTAATTTTTCATTTCTACGTTTAAGAAGTGCCACGAGTAAATCTAATAGTTCTATTAGGAATTCATGATTTGTAACAAATATTTCATGAAACCGAGCATAAAGGTCTACCATCAACCTTATTGTTTGAATCCAAACTTCTGCTGTAGATTCACGTCTTTTAAAATCTACCGCTGAAGACGTTTGTTGTGACGGAGTTGGCTCTTTAAGGTCTTCAAATATAGGCATTATAGCATTTCTAAAAATCTTTATCCAATAATTTATTTCGAACAAATGTCCTGTAGATTTTAATATATCGAAAAGAGCTTCTAATGCTCTGTTTCGAACAGTTTGAGATTCAGAATCTATAACTAAGCGAGACAGTCCTGAAACAACAGGAAACCATTTCAAAAAGAATTGCTCTTCTTCAATATGTTGTAATTTCTTTTTTTGAAGCGTAGATTGTTCTGAAATTGATGGTATAACCATCATAACATTCTGTTTATTTTCAGTTTTTTCAGACGTATTATCAACATCCTTTACTAAAACTTTAACGCATCCTTGTAACATTCTTATCGCCTCATTAACAAGTTCCTCTTCCTTTGCATTAAAGGCAAATTCCACAACACAATTCACAAAATCAACAAACGCTGTTCCTATAAGATCTAAATGCTTTTGATAGACTAGTCTAGCAACACCAAAAGTATTCTCTACTAATTGAGGGTTTTCATCAGATGCAGCACGACCGAAAACAACAAATATGCTCTTCCAACCAGATTTAATGTTTTTTGCACGAGCAGAAATCATTTGAATAAATGATTGTATAATAAGATCATGAATATTGGGTGAAGGATTATTTTTAATTATGTGCTCAAAAGGTTTCATAAATTCGCTTTGAGTGTTATAATGGGACAATTCATCTCTTTCCAAAAATTTCATACTTAATTGTCGAAGAGAATCAATAGCAAAAATAGCGACGATGTTATTAGGATGGCACCCAACAGTATTGAAATGAGGTTGGAGAATTTTCCAAATTTGTGTCCATTCAAACCGAATTCTTGACATATTATAATATGCAATTTCGACAATACGCTGTAAACTATACATTCTCGGTGACGTCCTTGAAGAATTTACTTCTTCAAGAGAAACCGAGCATAATGCATTGAAAAAGTGAACAATTGCATCACCACTTAATTTGACGCTATTTGTAAAAATTCGATCAATAGCAATTATAGTACTTTGTGATTGAAATTCTTTCATAACACCCCCTAGAGAACTACGACGCGTTCTATTAACACTCTGACGATGTGGAGCAGATGTCGTAGACGATGAAGTACTTGAAGGACCTGTAAAACTTGTAGAAGATGGCACAGAATTTTTATTATTTTGAGAAGAATAATCCAATCCACTTACACCTTCTGCAGTGTAAATAACAGATCCCGTTGAACTATCAATAAGCTGATAACGTTCCATTGTAGATACTGTCTTTAGAACAATAAGCCAAGAGGATTGTAAACCTTCTCCATAAGAATTAGCAGCGGTGAGTAATGTCTTTATCGCTGCTACATTCTTCGACCTCATTTCATCGACATGATTTAAACCCGTTAACTTAGCTAATGAAGACACGAAGGCATCTCTTTCGACATCCATTCTGAAAATACTACTAATTCTAATAGCACCAAGAAATCCTTCAAGACAAAGCTCAACTGATTCTTGGCTAGCTTGTATAAACTCTGCTGCTTTAAAATTTCCACTGGTATAAGCGTCTTCGAAAACAAGACTAAGAGTAGCCATTAAGGGCCAACATACAATTGCAAACATTGGCTTAACATGATCTGCGTGTGAAGCACTTCGCCAAACAGCTGGTGCATGACCTTCCCTGTTACTCTTTAGCAACGCCTGACTTTTCTTTTGCATTTGCGAAATTTCTCTTTCATATAATTCTTGACGTTCACGATCATTTGCATGACTAATTGCAGTTTTTGCTACCTCTGATATTTGCTCTTCCTCCATAACGATTTCATTATTAGCAATCTCTTCAAATATTTTACCCAGGAATTCGTCAGGTAAATCATTATTATTATTAATACCTCGATTGTTCCTTATGAATTCAGATTTATCCATACGTCTTTTAACTTGTGCCGAATGTTGGTCGGTATTCAACATGATAACAGAATATGCGAGAATATATGCAGTATCGGCGTTTGCGAAGACATCTGGATTATTTTCACAATAACGATCAGCAAACTTTTCCATAATTCGATCAATTTTCTGAGATTCGCCAGGAAGTCGAAATGTTTGTAAAAATATTCTCAAGGCGTCAACAAATCCTAATCCCGTAAAATCTAATCGGTCCACAAAGGCATGCATAATTTTGATTGCTTCTGGGTCACCTTCACCCAAGTATTCTCCTATAGCTGCTTTATTTAGACCAGGAGTTGAAGAAAGGAAAGATATTATGCTAGCGGTATCATTTTTTAGGAAACCATTTCCTAATAAGAAATTAAGTCCCTTAAGTGGTTTTGTGTTGAACAATTTAATACCTTCACGTAAAGTCTGTTTACGCGACATTATTTCTTGATATTGTGCTGGATTATCCTCATAATCTTCTATGCCTATACTACTACCACTAGAATTGGCATGTAATGTAGAAAAATTTACATTAAGTAAAGGATTTTTTGAAAAAATTACTGGGGTCTTGTCTTCTGAAAAATCAGGTGAGGGATTACGAGAAGTTTGTGGAGTCTTTACACCATTTTTTCTTTCCAAATCTTTACACCATTCAATCAAAGATTTAACAATTGCTATTAAACATCTCAATCCTTTAACTTTTAATATTTTATCTTGTAAAGCCATTAATTCTAAATTTGATGAATTTGTACCCATTAAATTACCCATTGCCGATCCACTTGGAACTTTTGTGCGAATTTGCGAAATCTTAGATAATGAAGTTACTATACGTTCGAACACGCTAGCCATTGAAAAATCACAATCGTAATTCAAATAAATATCTAGCAAAATTTGCGGTTTTTGACAAATTTTCATTAGACCCTGTAATACTAAATGTTTTTGTTGATAAGTCGCATTTGACATATCTAAGAACCTTAGATAAATTTCACTAAACAATACCTCTAATTCTGTTTTCAGAGGTGCACGATAATATCGTAATAACATTAAAAAATTGGAAAGAGAAAGTTCAAAAAGTTGTTCATTAGATGATACTCCATTCTGTGATAATGAAACACATAGAGATTGGCGAATTAAATTAATAAATAGTTCATCCGTGTGAAAAATTGGTCCAGAATTGTCCAACATAGATAAAATTAGTTCTAAAACTAAAGAGCGACCACGAAGATTTATTTCTTCATTTTGAGAATTTTCATTTGATTCGGATCGCATAGAAAGTCGACAAAATAATCTAAAGGTTAAATAAAGGTCTTTACGTAAGACATTCAATGCATTACGAGACGCGTCTCTTTGATGACGTATTTCTCTTAATTTCTTTCCAGCCTTAAGGGGAGGTATTGTGATTTTGAGTTCTTTTTTGGATGCTAAAGATGATCTCCTCCTCTTTAAAGGTTCGATCTGTGTTTTGTCATCATTAGATGATTCAGATTGCGTAACCTGAGCAATTCCATTTTCTTTTGTATCCTCATTTTCTAATTTATTAAATTCTTCAGAAGAATCGTCCTTTTCATTAACTCTTTTCTCATCAATTATTTCATTATTAATTTCTTGTGAGTTAGATTCTTCATTAACAATTTCTTTTTCCGTAATAGTATCTATGATGACTTCTGACGATTCCTCGGATAATTTGCTCACACCATTTATATTTACTGATTTTGAATTTGTGATTGAATCCGAATCAAAAGCTTCAACGCTATAATTCTCATCTTTTATGGAAGAATTTGAAGGATGATTTTCATTAAGGCCTTTTTTTTCCAAAGGACCTTCTATCACTTTATTAATTTGCTGAGCTTTTGAAATTATTCCATGAGTGGTAACATTTTTTGAAACTTCTTGTTTTGATAATTCAATAGAAAATTCTTTCCACCTAGCAACAATTGCATTCGAAATTTGAGTTAATTCAGCTTTTGCAGTTGCCTGATTTACCATACTTTTTGAATAACAATAGATATTGCAACAAGTTTGAATAATTTTTAATAAACTAATTCCATGAACAGGACATTGTTCAGTAGTAACAAGTGTAAGTAACACTTTTAATATTTGAAGTTGAACGGTTTGGTCGGTTTGAGGACCAATAAAACCAATACAAACTGTATGGACAACATCATCAATTAATCGGGCAGGATTAGGGAAATTAGATAAATTATTTTCTTCGATTCCATTTGACTCTTTATTATCAAAAGGTGTAGATATATCAATATATGACATATTGTTTGTTTCACTAAAACCACCATTATTTTTTATTTTTTGATCTTTCTTTTTTATTTGTCCATTCTTTGGAGGTGCGATTGGATTTGATCCTTTGAAAAGTCCGTGGGCAATAACCTTTTGTAAGCAATCTAATGCTAAATTTCTTATATTATTTGGCATTGAGTTACCACAAGCAATTCTAAATGGTTGCCAATAATTATCGGCCATAATTTTCGGTAAATCTTCTCCAGCACGTGCGAATAAACTGCTAGAAAGGGATACTCGTCCATTTCCACTAGAAATAGCACTAGGAGAAGCGTTTTCAATTGATTTCCCCGGTGACGAACTACTTTTTGTTTTTCCCTCCTTTTCACTAGTTTCACTAGTCACTATTCCACCGTTTAAGTTCGAAGTAGTGGAACTTTCAGTTCTGTCTTGTTTATCTTTTAAGTTTGTTTCAATCGAAGCATTTTCTTTTGTGACTGTGTCTATTTCTTGTAATAGTTGTTCTACCGCTGTTGAACAAACTTGTTCAAGTTCCTTTTGTTTTGATGATTGAGCCTCGGCAAGAAGCCTTTCCAGCGCACCCTTAAGGATGCTCATTTGTAAAGTTTGTTGTGAAAGTGTAGAATAACGGTATAATCGACTATTTCAGTCCAAATAGTCCTTTCGATTAAGCTTAAACCGCTTTCTAGTCACTTACACAAAAATTATTTGTGAAAAAAATAAAAATTTATTCAAGCCACAAAATTGCATAGCCTGAACTGAATTTAGTCTCAGTTCCGTGAGGCAGTGTAACTTTTTTCAAACCACGTTTCTAAACTTAGTATCAATCGTCACATGCCATGATTACTAAATATCATACAAATAATATAACGATACCAATTATACCAATTATAGCCGATTTCATAATTGGTCATTCAAATGAATTACTTATTATCTTAGATTAGTCGTTACGAGATTTTCAAGGAGATTTTCATAATTTCTTCTGATATGTATTATTTTATTTTATATAGAATTACTTTTTTTAAATAAAGATTTTGTGGAACTACTAATTTTATTTTTTATTAATTTATTTTTTTTAGTAAAAAATGATTTTAAATAATGATAAAATTGTACTTTATCTTTTAGTTTTAAATATTTGAATAATAAATCTTACTAAAAAAAATTTTCTTGATACTCTTCTTTCATATAATATTAAATATTATTAAAAATTATTTATTATGCAATTTACAATATATATATATTGTAAAACTGCTCATTATAGATTAACCTATACTTTATTTAATTAAATATATGTTGTTACCTATATAATAAAACTGTTATCTAATTATTTATTAATAATAATTATAATATTTTTTAGTATTTTAATGATTGTCTGATTTTGTTTAATGTATATTATAGTTGCTTATAATAATATTTTTTTGTTTGTAATTATTTCATTTATTGTTTTGAAAATTTCAAGATTGATTTTTATGCAATCTGAAACTGATTAAAATTTAATTTAAACTAAAAAATTTTCATATTAATCTGAATCATTCAAAGCTTTATTTATTAAATTTTTTATAATTAAAAAATTAAAATTGGCTATTAAATTTAAAAATTGCAATAAGTTTAAAATAGTTTAATTAAAAAGTATATATATTTATTTTTGACTTTTATATATTCTTAATTTATTTTTATAGTTTTCTATATTTATGATACTTTACTTTTTTTAATATCAAAAAAATTGCTAAATTAATATATAATAATAAAAATTCATAATACTAATTTAAACTGATTAAATCTAATTATAAAATATAAATTATTTTATTTTAAAATCAAAACAGTTTTGTTAGAGAAAATATATTACAAGTCTTTTAATATTATTAAAATCAAATAAATTTAATGTTTAAATATTAAGATATTATATTTTAAATCTAAAATTTTAGAATATATTTATATATTATAATTAAAATTGCTGAACAAAATCTAAAAGTTTTGATAAACATTGAAATTGAAAAGTTTTATTAAATATTTTATTAAAGATAAAATTGCGAAAGATTTGATAAGTAATAAAGTTTTAACAAATAGTAAAATTCATTGAAATCTTTTAATATTAAAATACAATTTTGAATTTTAAAAATTTATTATTTTTGTTTATAAATTATATATATCAAAGGTCATTTTATTTTTAATATTATATATTTATATATTTATAAAAGATAAAAAAAAATTCAAAAAATTTACATATTAAAAATGAATTAATTTACTTCTTATAGTTTAATTATATTATTTATTTTCTAATTAATATTTTCTTTATTTAAACTTATAATAGTATTTCTATCTTTTTTTTATTAAAAAATTATCATTTAAAGGTTAAAATTGGATTTGATAATTCAGATTTATTCAGTTTAAATTTAAATTTATTTGAACCTGACTTATTGCATATAATTAAAACTAAATTAATTAAAAAAATAAAAAACCATTAATCAAAAATTTGCTATTAAATTAAGGTATGAATTAATTAATAATAAAAAGGAATAAATTGTTTTATTTTACAAAAATAATTTGAAATAAGCTAAAAATAATTTCTTATGCAATATAATGATTATAATAATTTATCTATTTGATATTTAATAGCATTAATATGAAATTGTTTTATGTATAATAATATGCTAATAAAAAAATAATTTGTTAATTTAAAATAAAGATTAGAATTGGATTTGATATTTAGATTTAAATTAAGATTTAATTTATAAATCTGAATATAAAAATAAATTCAGTTAGGGAAATGACACATATCACATCATTATAAAGGGAAGGAGGAGGTATTAAATATCTCATCTTTCATGTGATTGTAAGTCTAACTATTTCTTTTATTTCTTTGATAATTTTATGTATTTTATTTTATATAAATAGAGAATATTTTCTTTTAGCTTAACAGTATGTCTTGTATTTGATATGTCTGATAAGTAGTTTTATTAAATAGTTTACTTTAATCTCTTTAACATACTTGTATAATACAGAATGCTGACTGAGGCAGTACTCTATTACTAATTTCAGCCTCCAAAAGATTTTTTTGGCTACAATTAACAACGTTCCACGTATTTTTTAAAAAAAAAAAACTCAGGTGATATTCATGAATCTTCACGTGTAAATACATAAAAGATCTACTGCATCCAAAACCTTTTTTTGTTATGGTTTTTAAGTTATCACAATTTGTTTTTTCAACGCACTTTCAGTGTAACAAGCAATTTATACTTATTTCCCCTCTTTTTATTTTTATTGTTTTATCTACTAATAAAATCTGTTTGCGATAGAACATCCTTCACCCGCTTCCAGCAATAACAAACAACAATAATGTTGCCGATAACAAAAGTAATAATCTAACTGAGATAAAACAATTAAAATCTCGTTATTATGAATC